AATAAACTTTCATTCTATTAGATTGCATGGTGAGTTATTTGTTGTAAAAAAAAAAATATCAAATCAAATCAAATCAAAGAACAATGTTATGTGAAATATTAAATCCTACATCCAAAAGATTATTTGAAAAAATAATAGATACACAATTTTCCGTCATTCATTAAGAGTTGTTAGGTGTTGCTCGATAACTTGGTAGAACATTATATGATTGAATTATACAATGGTTGATATTTTGAGTTATTGAATTATACAATGATTGATACACAATATTTTTTCCCGATGCACCATTGTACATACTCTGAAGCTTTTGTGTTGCATCTCACGTGATGACCGTCGTCTTGAGAATTGAATACATCGGAAATTCATTTAGAGCCACTCACTAACGACAATTTTACAATCATAAAAGGTTCAAATAAATTATATCATGTAGATTTTCTTGATGATAATGAATTATATTTTGACTTTTTTTGGGTTCTACCTAGTAAACATTTTGATTAAAATCAATTTACAATTTTCACTTGTTAGTTCTATGCTATATTAGGTAGACAAATAAGCTAGACTTATAGTTTATTTGGTTAGTTTATAAGCTCCATGCATTTAAATAAACCTCGTTTGGTAGGACGAACTTTTTAAAGGTTATTTGATAAGCTTCCTTAGGTAGCTTTTCAAATAAGCTAGTTGGATTTTTTTTTATTCCAGCTAGCTTATCAGCTAATTTTACCAAACATTTTTATCATATAAGCTAACTTATCAGCTATAAGTCATAAGCTATAAGTTAAAAAATTACTGATAAGCTATAACTAGCTTATCAGCTAGTTTTACCAAACATAGCCGTAATAAAGACATCTAAGACCTAAAAACTTAAAAACTGTATGAATAAAATAAATTTAAAACCTTTTGAAAACCAAAACTAGAGATGTTAAATGGGCTAGCCCTAGCAGACTTCGGGCTAAACAGTCCGGGTCTAAAAAGCTGGATTTAAATGTGCTACTAATAAAGGGTCCTAACCCTAATCCTAGGGGACCTCAGATTAAACGGACTATAATAATAATAATAATAATAATAATAATAATAATAATAATAATAATAATAATAATAATAATAATAATAATAAAATATATCAAAAATAAAAAATATATAAAAAAATAGAACGACTAGTTAACGATTGTTTTCAACGGCTATTAAGTATTTATCCCTCTATATATACAACTACACATCATATATGAACATACATTACAAACTCTTAATGACATTTTTTTTTTCTCAAAGGAACAAAAAATGTTCGAACTATTACATTACAAACTCTTAATTACCATTTTACTACTTATTTTGTACGTTTTAAAACTTTTTACGATATTATATCATACTTCTGAATTTATATTCTATCACTATGTTCTATGTATTAGATCTCTCTTGTATTTCTACTAGGTAGTCGTTCTGATTAATTTAAATATTTTGGTGTAAAATAGAATAACAAAATTGTTAATAATTATCTTTTAAGTTTTGAGAACATGAAATACAACTCACGTTCTTAGCCATATTTTCACCTTTTATATTGATTATATCTATAACTATATTTTATTTAAAAAAATCAAATTTCATTTTTGAAATCATACTTGTGTCGAAAATTGAAATTAGACACAAAAAAAATGAAATACTTCACTACAAAAAAAAAAACTCTTACATTCCAACAGAAATTTTTCGTTGGAATTCTTTATATTTTCCGTTGGAATAGGTATTCCAACGGATATTCCTACGTATAAAAATTCATCGGAAAAATGGCTGTTGGAATAGCTAAAATCCAACGGAAAATCCTATGGAAATAAATTCCTATATCTATACCAACGGAAAAAATCCGTTGGAATTCCTCAACCATCCAACACATATTCTAAACATAAAATTAAGTTTGTTGAAATATTCATTGGAATTTTCATCGAAAATTTTTGCCGTTATAATTTTTCATTGGAATTGAAGTATTTTTCTGGTAGTGACTTTTAGTCTCATCCTAAGCTTATAAAACCCTCTTAATAAACATAAGTTCAGAGCTCATCAAAGCCTAAGCAACACTCATTAATCACCCTTTAAAAA